TTAGGCCTCCAGACAGCCATGTTGTTCGGTGCTTTTCGATGATTGAACCTATCGACCCACTCCCTGTGCGTCGCTTTTGCTTCAGATGTCATAGATGGAGTGGGTTGCAAGCGGTTCCTCAGCCGCGTTCGCAGCACCCGAATCGGACGGGTGGCTCGAGGATCGACCGTTCAGTCTCGGATTTTTTTTCAATACAAATGTGCTCCGGATGTGCCGATGGTTCTCATCGGCCCAAGTCTTGTGTTTGTCAAGGTCGGAATCGTTTTCCAAGCTCAAAGGAGACAGGGAGGAGGCGATGTAGAGAAGGGGATCGTCGTTTACAGGATGTTTACAGTCCCACTCGCCCTCTTACATCAATTCCTCTAAGATCTTTAAGTGCTTTTAAGAGATCCTTTTGCTTTTAACAGTCCTGATAGTGCAGTTTGGGTATGGTCGATATGGTAGTGTATGGCTATGGCAGGGCAGATCAATTGCTGGAAAGTTGTCGTCCGGTGTGTGTAGTTTTTCATGTTTCGACACGGTGGTTGTTTGCAGCTCAATTCACAAAAAAACTAAGTTGTCCGGATCACCTGCAAGGATATTTAAGCGTGGGTCATCACCAAAAGGTGCGAATCGGTGACAATCCGCTTATCACGAAAGCTAGCTGTAGCTAGCTGGAGTCTGTCTTGCTTTAGCAAGGAGGGTGGGAGCCCAGGACTTGAGTGCTTTCACCTGATATATCAGGACTACACCCCCCGCCCTCGCGGGGTTCAACTCCACCCTTCTCCTCCTCGGTACCTGCTGCTGCTGCTTGGTCGCTGCTGCTGCTGCTGGCATCTCATCTGCGCCTGGCTCTTGGCTGCTTGCTGGTTGCTTGCTGCTTGCTGCTTGCATGCTTGGTGCTGCTGGATGCTCTTGGCTGCTTGCTGGTTGCTGCTGCTTGCTGCTTGCATGGCTGCCTGCTGCTTGTTGTCTGCTCCGTTTTGCTGCTGTTGCTGTTTGGGGTTGTTGGCTGCTGTTGGTGCTGAAGAAAGCCTATTCGTTAGAATCGAGAGTAGTTGCATTCCCTCTGAGTCGTGAAACGATGCTAATTTCATTATATCCTTAAGAAGCTTGTACAGGCATGTACCCACCCCACAACCCAAGAGTACAAATCAGAATGCACTATCTGCTATCCATGCAGATCAAAAGATGATACTTACTTCACACATGAATGACAGAACCCAGTCAGATGTTTGAACGGGCTGTTTGCTTCACTCATGGTAGTCCGCGTTCCATGTTCGAGCGACAGGGAGCATGCACAAGCGTTGCGACGGAGTCTTCGGTCGCTGACACATGTTCGCATACAACCCCTAGATGTCAATCATGCACACCGCTGCTGGCTGCATCGTCAGCATTTATTCGTTAAAAAAATAGATATATCAGATATATCTGTCTTTCCACGTCGCCCTTCTACAATTACTCAGGCAGCACCTATATGTGCTATTGTTCGAGACCAAATGTTGGGGCACGAAAGACTCTAAGGAAAGCTCACTCTTTCCCTGCTGCTGCCGCTGCTGCTGCTGCTGCTTGGTAGCTGGTGATGCTGCTTGGTAGCTGCTGCTTGGTAGCTGCTGCTTGGTAGCTGCTGCTTGGTAGCTGCTTGGTAGCTGCTGCTGCTGCTGCTGCTGCTTGGTAGCTGGTGGTGCTGCTTGGTAGCTGGTGGTGCTGCTTGGTAGCTGCTGCTGCTTAGTAGCTGCTGCTGCTGCTGCTTAGTAGCTGCTGCTGCTGCTGCTGCTGCTTAGTAGCTGCTGCTGCTGCTGCTGCTGCTGCTTGGTAGCTGCTGTTGCTGCTGCTGTTTGGTAGCTGCTGCTGCTGCTGCTGCTTGGTAGCTGCTGCTGCTGCTGCTGCCGCTGCTTGGTAGCTGCTGCTGCTGCTGCTGCTGCTGCTGCGTGGTAGCTGCTGCTGCTGCTGCTGCTCTGCTGCTGCTTGGTAGCTGCTGCTGCTGCTGCTGCTGCTTGGTAGCTGCTGCTGCTGCTGCTTGGTTGCTGCTGCTGCTGCTGCTTGGTAGCTGCTGCTGCTGCTCCTTGGTAGCTGCTGCTGCTGCTCCTTGGTAGCTGCTGCTGCTGCTTGGTAGCTGGTGCTGCTGCTGCTGCAGCTTGGTAGCTGCTGTTGATGCTGCTGCTGCTTGGTAGCTGCTGCTGCTGCTTGGTAGCTGCTGTTGATGCTGCTGCTGCTGCTTGGTAGCTGCTGTTGATGCTGCTGCTGCTTGGTGGCTGCTCCTGCTGCTGCTGCTGCTTGGTAGCTGCTGCTGCCGGGGCTGCTTGGTAGCTGCTGCTGCTGCTGCTGCTGATACTGCTGCTGCTTGGTAGCTGCTGTTGCAGCAGCAGGAGCTTGGTAGCTGCTGTTGATGCTGCTGCTGCTTGGTCTGCTTGGTAGCTGCTGTTGCAGCAGCAGGAGCTTGGTAGCTGCTGTTGGTGCTGGGTAGTTGCTGCTGCTGCTGCTGCTGCTGCTTGGTAGCTGCTGTTGCTGCTGCTGCTGCTTGGTAGCTGCTGTTGCTGCTGCTGCTTGGTGGCTGCTGCTGCTGCTGCTGCTTGGTAGCTGCTG